TTCAGGAATTTTTACTGAGATGATGGATATTCCTGAGATGAGTGTTCTGATTGCATCCCTGTCTGTTAGTGGTACTGCCTCAGTAAGTGATCTGTGTTTTATGGTCCGCAGTCAGCTAAAGCCCAGTCCAGTCCTTTTGGTATTGGGTCTGGCCACAACTACCAGACTGACCCAGCCTCCTACAGCCCGCTGTCATCCCCCGCCACCTCCTCCCCCAGTGGGAATGCTTATTCAGGCCTGACCAACCGCAGCACAGCTTTTGGTAAGCCCGCCTCTTAATTTCAGTTGTCATTTCCAAGTGTTTGCTGATGTTTGGGTTTGTTTTTTTGGGTTTAAGGAAGGACATTCAATTCAGTTTAATTTACTGAGCTCCAAATAATGTGCAGTCTCAATGTGCTTTACAGAATCTATTCAATCAATTCATCCAAACATCTTGGGTAAAAGTTTTCTACCTAAGAAACCCCACTGAGTCGTTCCAGTCAGATAAACTCTGAGTCGGTTTTTATTGGTGAAAAATATGAAAGAGAACCAGAAACGGTCAGTCATAGACGGTAGAGAGAGCATACCGTTAGAGATCGAACTAACGGATACCGCAGAGTAGAGATAGAATGAAAAAGTGGTCTCTATGTCCTCCAGCAGTCTAAGCCTATTAGGGCGGGGTATGCCAAGTTGAGCACATGGGCAAAGCAGCCAGCATGTCATAGCTGAGTGATATCAACAGCAACTAGCATGTTGGCAGCATTATCTGTAATAACAGCGGCTACTTTTCCGGTTATGCCCCATTTGTTCATTGCCTCCATCAACATGTTGGCTATGTTGCTCCCTGTATTACGTCCGTGAAGCAGCCTGGTCTGAAGCCCATTTGAAACTAATTCCCACTCATTTGATATGAAAAGAGAAGTGATGGTTATGTAGGGGTCGGTCGCTCTCGAAGTCCAGCCATCGCACGTCAGCGCGACTCTTTCAGCAGCCTTTAGCTACTCCAGCACAGCCGTCTTCACCAGTGCCGGTACAGCCACTTCTGTTTACAGGTTGGTATTGTGTAGCGTGGTTCGAGTGTATTTAATATGTTCTAGAAACCCTGGTTTTCAGCAACGCTGTACGGTCGTAGATCCTTGCAAATGACCATGGCCACAGACTTGGTGATTTTCTCTGGGCGAGCAGAACTTGGTGGCAGTTTAGAGATAAATGATTTATCAATTTGTGTCTGTTTGGAGTCGACAGGCTGTGCTTTGGTTTTTTGTAGCGCCTCTGCATGATATCTGATTAAGGGGTTGCGTAGGTTCGTTGTGTTACTGCAGTTCTTTAATTCTGTCTGGCACAGCTTACAAACGACCTTGCTTTTATCGATTTCCTGAGTTCTGGATTTCAACGAGGAAAAAAAAAAACAATTAGCCCAAACGTCTGACTTAGAAGTTGGTGTTCTGCTGGTACTCGCCATGACTTGTGTGCTCTAATTCGGCCTCTGCACTGGCTGAGAATGGTAACCAAACCAACAGCGCCCCCAACGGTCAGGGGGTGAATCGATTCTGAGGGGCTCCCACATCGATTATGAATTTTGCGTGTAATAATTGCGATGCATCAATTCTTCAATTATTTTACCCACCCCTGAAACCTATAGCTTTAGCTCTCTTTTTCATTTTCATCAGAACTCTGGCTGCAGCATTCTGAAGGTTTTTCACTAGTTTGTGGACTTCCTGATAGTAAAGAATTACAATAGTCCAGCCTTGAAGTAACAAATGCATGGACTAATTTCTCAGCATCACCCCTGGACAGGAGATTTCTCATTTTAGCAATATTCCTCAGATGAAAGAAGGAAATTCTAGAAACCTCTTTGATATGGGATTTAAATGACAGGTCCTGATCAAAAACAACACCAAGATTTTTTACTTTATTATCTGAAATCAGTTTAATCCCATCCAAATGAAGTGACTGACTAATCAGCTTCTTTTTCAAAGACTCTGGTCCAAAGACTATAACTTCTGTTTTGTCTGCATTCAGAAGCAGAAAGTTAAGAGTCATCCAGGTTTTTATGTCTTCAGACATGCCTGTAATCTATGTAATGGGTTAGCTTAATCTGGATTATAGACAGATATAGCTGGGTATCATCAGCGTAACAGTGGAATTTAATCCCATTCTGTCTAATAATTCTACCGATTGGGAGCATGTATAAAGTAAAGAGAATTGGTCCTAGCACTGATCCCTGTGATACTCCACAGGTAACCTTTGAGCATGAGGAAGATCTGTCATTAATGTGAACAAATTGAAATAAGACTGATAGATCAGATTTAAACCAGTCTAGTGCTGTTCCTTTAATTCCAACAAAATATTCAAGTCTTTCTAAAAGAATATTCTGGTCAACTGTATTAAATGCAGCAGTTAGATCTAACAGGACGAGCACAGATACAAGTCCATTATCTGAGGCCATGAGAATATCATTAGTGACTTTCACCAGAGCTGTTTCAGTGCTATGATGAGCTCTAAAGCCAGACTGAAACTCTTCCCCATCATTAACTACTAATGTCTTGGAGCAGAGATGTGATGAAGTAAATGAAGTGGATTCAGAGTCGGATTCATTTTATGAAAATCTTGATTCACTCCCTTAAAATGATTTCAAAATGAATTTGATTAGGCCTTACAGGACACTGTCTGAACTGGGTAATTGATGGGTAACATTAAAGACGCTGCAGACAGGTGTTAAAGTACGACTCCGCCTCCTGGTCTGGACCCAGGATGATCAGAATGTTGGCTGCACCGTTAACAGCGGGTGGACGCAGTCTCTCTAGATTAGTTCTCCCATGAAGCTTGCTAATTATCAGTGTAGCCCACATTGTTTCCAAGACAACATGCGGTTAAATATGTCAGCCTAATCACATAAGGGAGGGGGGCATTTATTACCAGCAGCCTGAACAACTTTAAGATTCAATTTCAGGCAGGATTTGATGCTCCTCTTAGTGGCTCCCAGCTGTTAGCTGCTGGATCTGGAAGTTCACCAACCCAGAGAACCCCTCCAAAGCTACAAACATATGGCGCTTGATACGCCTACCCTTATGGCCAAAGGAGGCGGGGCAATCCCTTCAGATGCTACACTGAGACAGACGGAGACAGTCATAGCAGCGCTATGATGCAAGCCTAGGCTAGTGAGCGCTAAAGCAGCCACGGCTCGCACTGACATGGAATGATAACCGGATGTGAGGGAAGAACCTTCCCCAGCAGCTGTTTGATCAGCTGGAAGAAACAGAAGCTGTCAGAGATGTGGATCCGGTTCTCTGCAGATATCTCTACACATGGTGCATCAGAACAGGACAGGGTTGGTCCATGCCAGTAACTGACTGGCTGTTTGCAGATGTTCCAGGAGAGGGAAGTCAGAGCGGAGGCCAGTTCCAGGGTCGGCCCAGTGAGGTGTGGTCTCAGTGGCAGAACCAGCATCATTCCCAGCAGTCTGGGGAACAGCACGCGCACGCCAATCCCAGCCAGACGGAGGTCTTCCAGGTAACGCTCTCTGGACTTTACCTGCTAAATCCTTTCAGTTTACGGTTTCTGATCTGTCATCCAATATCTCTGTAGGACATGCTGCCCATGGCTGGAGACCCCACCCAGGGAACGGCCAACTACAACATTGAGGATTTTGCTGACCTCGGCATGTTTCCTCCCTTCTCCGAGTAAAAGCTGCTTCTGCACATTTCTCTTCGCATCACAGAAGGACTCATGTTTGCATTTTGTTTTCATGCTTCACCTCATTTTTATCTGAAGCTGAATGAGCAGCACTTAGAGGAAAGAATGTCTGATCGGTTTGATTGTCATGCTCCCGTGTTGCTCCTGCTCTGCTCAGTGTGGAGAGGAAGGAAGTCTGACCTACAGACGGATGCAGCCTCTCATCTTCTACTGGATGATTTAACTGATGGTTTATCAGACACAACTGGAGACGTTCAAACAGTTGGCATCATGCATCTTCTTCCTTAGAACAGAAATCAGTAATTTTATGCTAATTGCAGTTTCTCCTGTTTGCCAGCAGGTGGCAGCGCCTGTAAAAAAGACTTAATTTACTGAAATCATTTAACTACACTAGAAATACTCACTATGTAAATGTTTCATACAACCTTGAAATGTTTTTGTTTTATCTTCTCTGAAACAGAATCATTTGTTTATCACCACCTAAAAGGTTTCTGCTGTTTATTGTATGATGATGATGATGATGATGATGATGGCGGCACTTTTTTAACAACAGTTCATTATCCAGTATCCAAACACACATCATGCTACCATACGATACAATACAATACACTACCATACCATACGGTACCATATGATACGATAACAACTTTCAACATCAATGCTGCTTTCAAACCAAAAGCTTTATGAGTCAAAAACGCGAAGACACAGAAATCTGGACGCAGGATCAAACTGTGGCTCGGCTCTAGCTAATCACAGTGTTAAATATCAGTAGATCACATAAGGAACTACCAAACTCTCTGCTTTTCAACTTTGATTGAGCTGCAGGTTTGGCAGCTCCTGCTTTTACTGTGGCTCCGTGTCCCGTCTATATTCCTGCAGCCTAATCAAACGTACCATTTATGGTCAGCCTAAAGCGCCTGGAATGGGACAAGATAGATTCTGATCTATTTGTAAAAACAGCAAGGACTCAGTTTAGGATTAGAACAGGTCTGGCTGCTGACCTGACACCTTGAAACTAAGCGGGGCGTAGCGTCAGTCTGCATGGATCAAAGCTCAGCTGCTGACTGACCTTACGTACCTGTCTGGATGAAGCAAAGAGCAGCTGGTGGGAGTTCCCAGTTCCAAGCGGCTGCTGTTTGCTGACGGTGTGACGTCAGACGGCGAATCGGAGGATCTGTCCTTTACTCATCGGAAAGCTTTTAAAACATCCTGTGAGAATCGATCGACCACAAATTAGACGTTCCTTTAAGTGAATCACCTTTCCTTTGAGCTCAGTAAATGTTTATAAGGTGACTGCAGCATCAGACCAACACTGATCCCAGCAGATAAAACCTTTCTTCCATTCAGTGTCATGTTAGCAGTAAGGGAATCTTTAGGTGACAATGGGATCGTGTTCCTGAAGGAACTGCACACATTGCAGTCTTTTGCTAAAGCTCTAAAATTATTTTTCCAATATTGGGATTTCTACATCATCTTACTTTCTCTTTAGTCCATTTTTTGTGCAAGTCTTGATGATATTGTGTATAATGTGAGTGTGTAACTATCAGTATATCGTTGCTTAGTTTGTTGTACACTGACTTCTAGAGCCGTTCAACTGTAAATGTGACTCATTATTTTGTGTAACAAGTTGTGCTGTGAAAATAAATTCTTGCTTTGGTGGCTTCCATTGATCCCAGTTATCCTACCAACAGGTTCATACCTAAACTATGACTTTGATTGTTGCAGAGTAAACGTCATTCAAAGATCCCCCGTCTCCCTCCCTCCGCCCTCCCTCGGTGGACCAAAACAGCAAAAAAATGACAACTTCTCTTAATAATCCAAGAATAAAGTTGGTATGACAATAAATGTCTGTATAGAATAAAGTCGGAATAGAATAAAATCGGAATAGAATAAAGTCCGATCTTCAGTCGTTTCATAACTAACCATCTCATCCAGATTATCTAGCGGTAATCTGAGCTCTGTCTGTAAACATCATTTCATAATAAATCCTAATTTGATGCTGATTGGCTGAAATGTTTAAAGTTTCCTTATCTGTAAAATCAAATCAATAAGAAAAGATCAAAATATTTTCTACATCCCTCATTTTAGGATGACAGCATAAAGTTATTAAATAATACTGACTTTAATTTGGTAATATATTAATCTCGCATTATTATGACTTTAATCTCGTAATATAACGATTTTTGCAATGTCATGCATTCTTTATGGTAAAATTAAGACTTTATTCTAATAAATGTAATCTCATAAAATGACAACCTGTTAAAAACAGTTGTTTTCTGTCTGGCCATAACAGCTTCCCACCAGCTGGGGGCGCTAATGATTTGACCAGCTGCCATAAAACCCCAGAAGAAGAAGAAGCAGGAAGTAGTAGTGAAGCGATGGAGCAGGAGCTGCTGCTTTGATCGGACTGATGTAGAAACCACCGCCTCTGCTTCAGGATGTGGACCAACCGGAAGGCAGGAAGGCTTCTCCTGAAGACCGTGAGCCATTTTCTGAAGCTCCGCTGCGGACCCACCGTCCGCACGCAGTGTCCCCGTAACCCCGCAGCGTCCGGGCCGCCCTGGAGGCTCCTGTTCTTCGGTACCGACCAGTTCGCCGTGGAGTCTCTCAGGTTGCTGACCCTCTGCAGGTAACCGGGGTTGCCATGGCGATTAGACCCAGAGTATTCCCGCAGAGCCTGCTGGTCGTTTCGTACCTGACTTCCTACCTGGTGTCATTTCTTAGAAAGTCAAACAAAATGATCCACATTTCCCCCCAAAGATTGAATCTGCCAAAGTTTTACAGCTTCAGGATTATAAGAATAAAAGCCTGGATTAGACCCCACCTTAACCCCAGCAGGACCAAGCCAGTCCCAATGGACTTTCCTTCACTTGTTCCTGAATAATATTAAAGAGGAAACAACGTCCAGAGGTCTGTAATCCAGAGGTGGATCCTCCAGAGGTAGATAATCCAGAGGTGGATCATCCAGAGGTCTGTAATCCAGAGGTGGATCATCCAGAGGTAGATAATCCAGAGGTGGATCATCCAGAGGTCTGTAATCCAGAGGTGGATCATCCAGAGGTAGATAATCCAGAGGTGGATCATCCAGAGGTCTGTAATCCA